TTTTATCAAAAGAGAGAGAGATTGTTGATTCTGCTACTCACGAATGCCAATTATCTTTCCCAAACACTATTGAGTAGGAGATTTTTCATGAAAATTCTTATGATGTGCCGCAAGGAGATGTTACACAAGTAATAGACAAGGCAAAATAGCAAGATTTGGCTCCTTAATAGTCCGTGAGGAGCAACATATTGCTAGTGATCCATCACCTCAACCAACACAAAGTGATCAACCAAACTCTTCAACTACAAGACCAACACATATTTGTCGTGCACCCGAAAGGTATATTTTTTGATTGCCAACAGAATAGGCTGTTAGGGACAAGTACATACTTGTTGATGACTTAATAGAAGCGTTGATCACAAAGGATGGGAGTACATTTTCTTATATTGAATCTCAATCAGTTCCGGAGAAGCTTGATTGGGATGCAACAATGCGAAAGTGAATGAAATTACTTCATGATAACCAAGCTTGGGAACTCGTGAAGTTGTCCAATGAAATACAAGCTATAGATTGCAAGTGGATCTACACGATGAAAGATGATTATACTAATATAGCTGAAAAAATCCTCAAAGCAAGATGGGTGGCCAAGGGCTTTGAATAGTGAAAGGGCACGACTACACTGAGGTTTTTTCACTAGTTGCTAAGTTTTCAACTATATGCTTGTTGTGTGCACTTGTCACATTATTTAGTCTACTTCTCGATCAGATGGATGTTGTTATAGCCTTTTTGCGTGAAGTGTTGAAAGAATTAAATTACATGAGAAGTCTGGAGGATTTTTTGAAGAGAGTATATGAACGTTTGGTTTGTCAATTGCTTAAATCATTGTATGGACTTAAGCAAAGTCCTTGACTATGGAACAAACGCTTTGATGAATTAATGCATACGTAGGATTTCATACGAAGTGCACATAATCATTCTGTGTACATGAAGTGTGTGAACAACACAAGTTTTGGCTTCATATTACTCGTGTTGTATGTATATGACATGCTTATTGTCGTTTAGTATAAGTCTGAGATTATTCAATTCAAAGCTCAGCTCAGTTCCAAGTTTAAATTGAAAGATCAAGATACTGCTAAGAGTATTCTAGGCATGGAGATCCACAGGGACAAATCATCAAGCAAACTTTGATTGACATAGTCATAGTTTGCAAAGAAAGTACTTGCTAGGTTAAACATGTCAAATGCTAAAGCTGTAAGTACTTCATTAGCTGCACACTTTAAACTTTCGGTAGCTTTATGTCCAACTGATGCAATTGCAAAAGTATTGATGTCTTCTATTCCTTATGAAAGTGCACTTGACAACATTATGTATCTAATGCTACGCACTACGATACAACATATGCAGTTGGAATGGTGAGTAGTTACATGTCAAATCTCGGACAAGAGCATTGGATTGTTGTGAAGTGAATAATGAGGTATATCAAGGATTTTCTTAGTACTGGATTAATGTTTGAAGCACAATCAAACAATGCAAGTTTGCTCTTGGGGTATGTTGATGTTGATTATGGAGTAAATCTAAATAAGCGGAGATCAACAACTGGGTTCGTTTCTACTCTAGCTAGTGGATGCATAAGTTGGAGATCTACACTTCAAAAATGTAATTCTCAGCCGTTCATAGAAGCTGAATACGTTGCGGCAGCAAAGGAATCAATCTGGTTGAACAAATTGAACATTAAGATTAGACTGCCACACAATGATGTGAATTCTTATTGTGACAACAAGAGTGCTTTTCATCTAGCATCAAACAAGGTGATATATAATAAGGTAAAGCACATTGATATACAATATCATTACATTAGACAAGCAATGTCTGATAGTGCACTTAAGCTCATCAAAATTGATGGTAAGCTGAATTCTGCCGACACATTGATCAAAGTGATTTCATTGAAAGTTTGTTCAAACATTATGCAAAGTTGCAAAATTTGCATAGGGATGGTTAGTCTAGTAATTTTTGTACATGTATTCTTCCTCCGGTTTTTGCCGGCTACGGCTTAGTTCTAATTAACTCTCGGCTATAGAGAGAAACTGTGATTTAGCTTTACTTTCTAGAACGTCTCGCAAAAATACATGTGGATTGCATTAATTAACTCTCGAATACTTTACTCAAGGGATAGTTTGTTAGTTTAACTCTATCTTGGATTAATTTCACTTAGTGATACATGGTTAGAAAAGTTAGCCAATGATTATGTTAGCTAAGATGTGCATCTAATCTCTTCTTGTATAGAAGAGAGAAGGAGTCATTCTCTACCTACGATTCAAATTTGCACTTTGAGAGTGAACAGAAAGAAGTACAATTTGACTATGGAGGCCGTGTATACACCTGCGCTTTAGTGAAGTTTCTATTTTTGCTCGTGGACGTAACATGTAAAAGATGAATCACGTTATCTCGGTGTTCTGACTCTTGTGCGTGTTGATCACTATTGATGGTTGGGTCTTTCAATGAACCCACCCATGACATTCATCTCTAAAATCAGTTCTAGAGTGCTCTCGACGAGTACTCTAAGCACATATCTCAGAAAAATTGAGTGAGATCCTTACATCCAACATCGACACCATTGCTAGGAGACATTTCAATCAATCCAGGTCTGAATGGAGTAGAAAAAAAGTGAAGCAATGCTTGAAGAAACTTGTTCACAACAACTCTTCAAATTATTTTTATACTACTTTAACCTTGACTTTGAGATCCTTCATTGCTCTAGTTTTTAGTTAGCAACTAAGCGAAGTAGATTTAGATTGGTTGAAGTAGTTTTTTAATCCTATGTGATGCACTCTAGAGTAAAGAAGTATGTTAGAATTAGTTAGGTCCAAAAATCTATAAACATACTCTTAGAGAGCTAATATTATAGAACTAAACATAATGCAAGCTGTATTAGTGTCCAAAGAAATGATCACAGTATGTATGATTGTATATATATCCAAAGAGTATTTATGATTACTACTCGTTTGCTGGTTGCTCGAGCAAACACTATGAGAATGTGTCTCACACGCAAAAGAATTGGAAAAAATATGCCAAAGCGAGGACCCAAACATGGAAATTGGAGTGTGATGACTCGACGGTTCAACATACTCACAAGAAAGAAAAAATGGAAGGCTGTGATAACCAACCAACGAAAAAAAATACAAACAAAACAAATGAAGGATTGGAGCGCTCTTTCTCTTCCTCGTTCGCAGGCGAGCTTAAAGTGCCGTGAACCAATGATGCGACGCAGTTGAGTTGGATTGATCCACGGTATGAACGGTGACTTTAAGGCTCAAACGGTGTACGTATGAAGTGCCCCCTTTGCCGGAGAAATACGGTCGGGGTGGCCTTAGTGAAAAGTGGTACTACGCAGTTGAGTTGGCTTGAATCACGCAATGGAAAACTGGTGACGAGAATCGACTGAGATTACGAGACGCAGCTGCGAATGTTCTGGAGCATGCGTCTTGTCTCATGGTTCCCTTGTACACGGATCTGGCTTTGAATGAGCATTGCTACCGTGAGTTGCAAGTTTTATTCCAGAACCCCGTTCTGTCCGTCATGTTTTTCGCGCATGGTAGATTTGAGGTTTGGATGGGATTCCAACGCGTTTGTATCGGATCCGAGCCATGGCTTGGAGCTTTTCAGAGGCCTTCACTCAAAGGAGATGTGGGTTTGGGCTATGCGTTTGACAGGGTTTAAACTAAGATGCAGCAAACGAGGAATTCGGGGAAGCTTTGGTCCAAAAGTGGCGCAGGAGTCATGATACCAATCATCATACCAGAACGCCCAATGGAGAAACGCAGTAGGTGAGTAAATTCTGACGTCCAGAGATAGACAGCCTCGATTCAGACTTCATTACGGTGAGCCTTGACCAGCACGAGCTCGGTAGAAGATGTGGTCTCTTCTCGTCGCAAGGGGTAGGGAATCGTGCGCTGCGAAGCTTAAGGCGAGGTTCATCGACGAACGGAATGAGAGATCTGCGTCTGACTGGTGTTTGGGGGTGTGGTGGGGTGCATGTTTCTTATCAGGACACGTACCGAAGAACGACTGTGTTCTTCGAGCAGACCATCGAAGCTCGGCTCAGGGAAGGGAAGAATGTCCTCGTGGTAGCGCACGGAAACGTCTTGAGATGCATCATCACTCACCTTTCCTGCTTGTCGGTCTACGAAATGCTTGCTCTTCAGGTGCACACCCTTTAGCTCACATCGTAAGAGCTGCATCGTATTCACGAGGATTTGACTCGTTCACCATGCAGAGGCCAATCAAAAACTCGTTGATGAGATTGTTGGCAGGATTAAGTCTGGTACGAGTCGTAGGTACTCGTCGTTCGACTACTCTTGTCCATGGCTATGGCAGGCGGCGACGGCATTGTACTATGCTCACGCATACAACAGACACTGTTTTGATCAACATTGCTTATTACTCCCCTCGCATTGGATGCTACAGCTTCGGCTTCCTAAAAGGGAGATATTGGTTTCTTAGTATAATCCAACGCGCTTTCACCTCACTTCTGGGTAAAAATATTGTTTCCCACGTGGGGCTCGGCTTGTTTTGATAGCTTCTATCACCTTGGTTTCAAGCTTTTACAGCGTTCAACATTTTTTCGAGTAGCTTCGCAAAGGATCTTAGACCTCTGCGCTTCCGAACTGTTACCAAATACTGTACCGCAAAATGTTGCCCACTCGCGAGCGAGAATTCAGAAGTGTAATCATATGGTAACGACAAGAACGAAAGTGTTCAGTGTAAAGGAGAAATTCGGTTATCTGTACCCTAACCTGCCAAGTGCTGAAAGGTTATAATTGGATTCGGAAATTACGGAAAGTACCAACAAATTTTATTCTCGGCCATTTCTCACCTACATCACGTGTAGATAATCGTACCACAAACGCCAAAAACAAGTTGAGAAGGGAATGAGCCAGAGAGTAAATAAGACAATCGTTCCTCGCCAATCAGTCTATTTTCCAGTGTGCCAAGAAGTGAGAACAAAAACCGCTGCAACCTTCGGCTGCTGTTAAAATCATGGACAATTGAGTGCAGTTGAGAGACAGGGACCTTTCAATTCAAGAAAAGGTTAGAACAAGCACTGAACGGTTCTCAAAATGCCCGGTTAGTCAACACGAACGCGCGTCCAGAGCCGCCTCAGTAAGTTGAATATTACAACTTTACAGAAACGAATGGTGGGGCTGAGCACATGACATACTAATTTAGAAAAGAATACTACCAACAAAGTACTGGTACAGCCCGAAGTAGTTAACTTGGAATACTACATCCTATCTGAATGTATTCTCCACCTTCAAGTATAGTAGTTTCCACCTAAGCTATTCTAACTCGTTTCATTCGCCTTAGGTCCTGACTGTAAAAAGGCTAATAACAGAATCTATTTCTACTTGCTGTTAAATAAGATTCATCTATCAGATATTACGTTAATTGGGTTTGGCCGACATGTCAAACAAGACAACCCAGTGAACACAAATCATCATAAGCGTCTACAACTTACAGCAGACTTGGCCTGCCTTCCCATCGTTTACTTTGCAAGGTACAGGACACCGTAAACTCATCGTTTTGTTTCATAGGAAGTGCTGCGTAAGTGTGCCGTTCCCATACAACCCTGGAATTAAAATAGTCAGGGGAGAATGGAACAGAGCACCTGCCTCAGCTTTTCAACATGACAGCCTTCCACGGAGAGCTCAGCTGGTGTGTGGTGGATGTCAAGCTAACGGGGGCTTTTAATAGACCGAAGAACATAAACTTTTCTTGCGCCTTTTCCAGGACTGCATTGCGTCACATGGCGTGCTTTTGAACTGATATTCAGGTAAATCACCGATTCATCAGTCAGAGTGCCCACACATCCCAGCGAAACTAGGTGAAGAACAGTGTCATCCAGGTATTTGTTGGATGAAGATGTCGGAGCTAGCGACAGTGAAGTTGAGGTGAGTACCGGCTAGAGTTCAGAAGACAATGGCCGGTGTCCGTATATGGCAGTAGCGGATAAATCTACAATTCGAAAATCACTTGGCGGTTCCATTTGTGTCCCTGGTCTTCTTAGAAATGTTGCCGATAGAGTTAGTCATCCCTCTGGTGAGCGCCTTCCCTCCCTTGCCAACCAAGCTAAAGCCACCTCCAACAGCGCCTGCAACACCTCCAACAGCGCCGCCGACAAGCTTTCCGGCACCTCCAACCACTCCTGCGACAGCATCTGTAGTGCTGTTGAGAATGCCTTCATTCTTCATCCTCTCTTTCTCTGCTAGTTCCTCTTTCTCCAGTTCCATGGCCTGTGCGCATTCTTCTTTAGTGTACTCATGGTACAGAAGCTGAAACAAAAAGCCCACCAACGGCGTCAGTTAATCCACCTCGCTCGCCAGGTACTGTTGAAAACAGCACCATAATCTAAGAAGAAACCTTACATACTAGGATGATCCAGAATTATTTGTCAGATATGTTATCACTAAGCGCTTGAAGGTTAGAGCATTCACAAGACCATAGCTAACAGATCACTCTTCAACTTCCTTCCGTCAAACGGAAGCCGAAGCGGAAGATTTCCTATATCTTCAATTGTATCAAAGCCCAATATGATGCTTAAAAGGTAGGAGCCTTAAACTTGGATGTATCTCCCTTTCGTTGGCATCCTCGGGAAAATAAAGGTGCCAAGAGATGGTCGAATACCTTGACGTAACGAATATTTTACGAACATATAAAGATGGAGGCAAGTTTTTCCAGATCACAAGCAAGCCAGTAAAATATCCTCCATAGCATGCTGTGGGAAAGAAATGAGTTCAGGTAATTACTTCTATGTGGAGTGTGCCACGATCCTTTTTGTCCTTGACTCGATCGGTGTCCAAAGATGGCAGCAGCGGCAGTGGGAGGGTTTGTACTTGTTCTGGCACCAATTTTGAGATAGGGAACGAAACCAAACCAAGGGTTTTATCGTTACCCATATCTTCATCCAAAACCTACAGGGTTGAACGACATGTGTTGATCAGCTTCCACATATTCTTTCAAAGACTCTGCCCCTAGGGAAATGATTTCCAACTTCAGCTCAATACGCAACAAGAGCTCTGTAGAGGATTTTCAGCCAGAACGAATTTTTTCACTGGAGTAAGACATAGCAAACTTTGATAAAAATGTATATAACTTTACCTGGAAATGCAACACCTGTGTCTCATGGTCCTCAACATTTAGGTTGAAAGTTTCATTCCATATAGGATTGAGATTGTTATCGATCACTTGAGTCTTGTACTTGAACAGAGGGCGAACATACAATAGCACGTACGGGTCAGACTTGCCCACCATCTCCATGTTCTTGAGACTTTCAGCTTTGACAACTCTGCACGTTACCTTGCCCTGGAGCTTCGGTTCCAAATCACTACACTCAACAAGGAGAGAAGTAAGAAACAGGGAAATGGTCAATAGTTTCTTAAAATTAGCAACGAAAGAAGGAAAACAAAAAGGTAAAAGGTAAAAACCATATAGTTTGAAAGATTGGCTATACGAACCTTAAAACACCAGGATCTGCCGAAAGTGAGATGATTTTTCTGTGCGGCCATTGTAACTGATCGGTAACAATGTTCTCCACGAGATCCTACACAAGAAGAGATGCATATTTTTATAGAACTGGTGTTGGAAGACTTCAAATCACATCTAAGTTGTAGGAACTGGCTATACATCTCAAAAGTTTTCTCACGAATGACTTCACTGATCTCTAGGTATGAACCATAATAAAGGATCGATTCTTACTCTTATCATGTCCGAAAGACCGGGAACGGCTGTTAAGGAACCACCGATCACCTTAAATGTATACTTGATCTCAGGTTTAGGCTGCAAGCATTGCAAAACTATCAGGAACATAAAGCATTAAGTGCACACAGTACGAGCAAGTATTGAAAGCAGACGTTTCATACTTAGGAGAGCGTATACAATGCGAAAATACGTAGCCGGAATTACCTTCGCCAATAGGGCAACCACGATAGCGGAAATACAAGGCATCTCCTCTGACAACACGAAGATGACCCGGACGGTGGCAAAAAATTTGAAGTTCTTCAGCTGCGGAATTGGAGTTCGTTTGTTAGGACAACATAAAATGCCTTAGCCACGCAAATGGATGGCTCTAACCAAACAGGGAAGGTGCACAAAGGCCAGCCCATGTTTGCCGGGTAGCTAGAACTAGAATGTTGAACAATTTGACAGGGTGAATGGGAGATGCATCCAGGAAAAATTGAGTTAAAAATTCGGCAGTTACATGCTGATTACGCCTTTCAAGCTTCTACGATACCTCAACTGAGAGACTTATCTTTAACATTTATGATACCTGCACTGGTAAGACGGCCCCTATCATGGTGTAAACACCTAGTACAATGCTGGGATCGCCTCCCCATCGGAAGTCCAAGTCCATGGTGACCTGGCCCTCTTTCAAGCTCTGCATCCTGATACCTGCGGTGATAGAGTGACTCTTCCGTTGTAAGTTTCGTGTTAGACGAAAGCATCGGTGACAAGGGTACCTCAGTAACATCTACTTTCCACGAGTTGCACTTACATGTAACCTACAAATCGACCAGAAATATACCACAACCAAGTGTCTCACGCCCACCTTCAATCTGAGGAGCCACATTTCCCAAAAACAGCTTGTTAAACTTCAACTGCGATATACCAATTGGCCTGTAACTCTCCAGGATAGGTTCCACCGATTCTTTGATGACAGCTCCTGCTGCCTGCAACGCAAATGACAAGGGAAAATTGCATGAAATCAACCCTCGCAATTAACCAACACTACGCGAACCAACTGAGCATGCTAAATCCTTTCTTTGGGGTCAGGAGAAAGTAAGTCTCTGGATTCTAGACAAAGTAGGTACTCTAGACAGCATGTTTTGCAGGGCTACAATCGGATCAGTAAACAATTTTGGGAAAGACTCCGACCTCTCCAAAAATCACGCAGGAAATTGTGATATTTCCATCTTCGAGGAAGAAAAATAAGTCAAAAAAAAAAAAATTGGTTGCCAAATACGAGAGATTGTAGACCAAAGAACTGAGAAACTCAAAAGCACAGCCCGACTAGGAAAGACAACAATCCGAAAAACAGAGAAACAAGAAACATCCAGAAAACAGACATCCAACAAAAACAAAAGAAACAGTCCAACATTTCCAAAAAGGAAAATTCTGAATTGATTTTATCAAGTGGTAATTGTACCCAAGAACTTCGATTGAGCAATGAACAATCAAAGACACAAAACAACGTAGAACGGAGACACCGTGTCGTACCTTAGCCACAGAAGGCCAAACTTTCTCCAATTGCTTGTTCAGCCATCGAACCTGCGAACAAGATGCACTGAAATTAATCGCTGTTACTTCTTTCACAAGATCATGAACTACGTCAACGCACAGAGATCATGTTGAAAACATAATTGGCAATCGCATCAGCTCACAAGAATCTAAAGGAGGTCTAGAAATGTACCCGTTCGAATTGTGGAAATGATATCCATAACGGGCTGTTACCATCACAAAGTTTTTTAATATCATCTTGTGTAAGTTCTCCAAGCAATTTCACATCCGCAGCCTGTAAATGATACCGCGTTAGCAAAACTCAAATTCGGAATGCTAAGCTCGCCAACCAAACAAAAAAATTGCCCAGGCTTCACTATCTTCCTGCAATCTCCTTGCAAAGACACGACTTCCTGATCTTCCTGAATGCGGAGAGAAGTTAAGAGCAGATTCATTACGCTTCCTTTTCTCTGGGGAGTGGCAAGCAGAGAGTCAAACATAAACAAAGATCTACAACGTGTTGCCGTGATCGGACACTTGTCAATTTGGACGGTCTAGCCTCAGCATAAAGAAGCCGGGCCTAGTATGCGAAGTGTACTCTATGGCCTAGAAGGTTGTACAGACCACGGCGCACTCCTCTTTCAATGAGAGATATAATACAGACTACCATATAGACTAATTCACCACTGCCCGTAACACAGTGTGAAAGGGCATGGTTTCGAGCTAGACAATGTGCCTAGAAAGTGTCATCACATACGAGTCAACCCGAAAATTTCTCTTCCCGTCCACACATGACGTGGTTTCGGAACTGATCTCCAATTTTCGGCGACTTAGTTCGAAGCATAGCAATTAGCGCTCGCTCGTTTTCTTGTGAGCTAGGTGGAGTTTTCCTTCCCACCGGTTGTAGTATGAAGTGTTCGATTTAAGAGCAAACATCTTGTTTCCGCAGAAAGTTAACTATGTCTGACGAAAGAGGCGGAGAAAATTCAAAACAAAAGTAAACCGAAATGTCACTCCGCAGAGGAAAGGCTGATGCATCAGAGAAAATCTAGATACTCCTAACAATGACGGGGCGGTAATGGTTTGGTCAAATACAGGTAATTAAGTTCGACGATCCCCTGAGTTATCTACCATACACGAGTGCCTCCCAGAGGCCAGATAGATTGCGCGCATAGGAGCAGGTCAAACCTTGGCAATTCTCTGCTTGCTTCTCCTTTGCATCACAAACGCGAGGCCAGCAACCATCGCCACTCCGAAGGCAAAGCCAAAAATCAAACCTGCCGTGAAACCCATGCTTCAAAACTGCCTACTCCACTACCTCGTGCTGTATACAACGCCGGGCCAAAATATCCTCCGATATCTATCTACTAACTCAACCAGACTACTGAGCTCGCCTTCGATCGGAAACCACTACTGAAAATTCAAAACCTGTTCCATCGCTGGGACACAGAAGATCAATGGACTGCTCCATCAGTCGGCCATCTCACCACCCCACACTAATTCTTCACCACATGAACGCACAGTCCCAGATCGCTCCGTCAAGATCTACAATCTCGCCTACCCTGTCCGTGCAAATTCGTCAACCAAACCAGCTCCTCCCCGCTCTCTCGAATGTATCTATCCACTATCAATCAATCAATCTATCCGTCTATCTATCTATCTACCTATCCAACTATCCCTCGCAAAACTCTCCCTCTCTCGCGACTCTAATCACTAGCTCCCGGTCCGAGTTCTTCAGCGTCAGCAGATCGGCCATGTGACATCCATTCGCAGAATCGCGAGCAGGCGACACTCGTCGGTCGCACCAGCCTACGCAGCGCGCGCGCAGATACCAACGACCTCGGGCTCCGCTGATGCTTACTTTTCTCTCGTCTCTCCCCTCTCCGCCTCCTCCTCCTCTCGCTCTCTCTCTCTCTCCCTCCCTCCCTCCCTCTCTCTTGTTGCTCTTCTGCTTCTGGTGCTGCTACTGCCGCTGCTGCTGCATAACTCGAGCAGCCGGGCGCTGCTGCAGCGTATAGCAGTGCAGACCGGAGCGGGCCCGGGCAGGAGCGGGGCGAGGGGCGCGGGGGCGGGGCAGCGCAGTGCAGGCGCGGAAAGGGAAGATCTAAAATAAGCCTCGGAGTGACAGGCAGACGCAGTCGCCCCCTCCCTCCCTCCCTCCCTCCCTCTCGAGGAAGGAAGGAAGGAAGGAAGAGCAGGCACTGCTCGCGTATGGCAGACCGGCGATCGCGACTACGGCGCTCGGATACGGATACGGTGATCTCGAGGGCCATCGGGTGCGACGTCACCCGCGGCGTGGATCCAGACCAGACGGGGCGGGGATGGAAAATCTGGATCCAGGTCCCGGGTCCACGTCCGTCCACGGCGACGGCGGATTGTAGGATCCAGATGTGACCCAATAGCGTTCGGATCCCCCATCCGCTGAAGCCTCGGGCCGAGGGTGTCATTGGTTGGGCCATGCGCGTCGCATGACTGTTGAGTGATTTGAATAAGCCGTGTGCCTCTGACAGGTGCAGCCCGTTCGGCCCGGCCCGGCTTCTTCACCGACGGCGTATGTTTGAATGGAACCGGCGAGGCGAGTCTCTTCGCAGTCGGTCGGTGCCCGTGGGGAGCCCATGCCTCTGCGGCCGGCTTTTCTCCCCGACGTCGCTCGCCTTCACCGGCCGACGCTCTGCAGTTTTGCTCTGCAGGCCTACTCGGTAGCTGGCCTCGGTCCGTCCCTCGCCTGGCCTTGCCTCATTCCCGGCGACGACGACTTTCGACGACACCCGACCGACCTCGCGTTCAACGTCTACGACGTCCGATAAAGTCCAGTCGCGCCGGCATGGCCGCAAGGCCGCCGGGCCCCGCCGGCTTTTCTCACCGGCATGACCATCCCTCGAAGGCGAGGCCGACGACTTTTATCCTGCCACTTCCGAATCACTCAACGCCACTTTCTCCGCGCTTCCCGCCACTTCGGTACAAGAACACACACACGACCTTATCCAGGCTCTCTCCTCGGGATTGTCCAAAAGGTCGTTTTATTCCCTAACGGTTTCAGTGTCAAGCCTCGTTCTGTCATGCTCGTCTCTCAGACGCAGAGGAGAGCTCGAAACCGCAAATTTCACACGAAATTCGTCCACGCTCGTCCTGACTCTGACTGACATGAGCTCATGCCACTCGTTACGTAGCGGCATGCCATCACGGTGACCGAACACTTCAGCAAAACATTCGAAAGCTTGTGGGAAATTTTGCAAGCTTTCCGCACCAGAAGCCCGCCGAGATGTCACAATCCTTCCATGATCGGAAATAGGAAATGGGCGACACTTTATCTGCGGATCAAAAGCTTGTGCACATATTTGTATGTGCCGATGGCTCAAGATTCGCTTGTGATCGAGTTGTTTTTCTCGGATAAGGAGGTCCTACTTCATTACTTCATGCGACTGGTTTCTGTACGTGCATCCTGTGGAATACGGCATGGTCGGCATCGAATACGGTATCACCAAGATTCTTGCTGTTGCAGCTCGGCTCTGCATCGACAATATTGGAATCCCGAGCTCAAAGGCACAACGAGGGTGTATAACCTTCATGTACACTCTCGACAAGACATACAGGACACTTCGAGATCATATATGAAGATTATTCTTTCAATTTTTCAACTTCATGAAACTTGATGTGATGTTTTTATTTTCACAAATGTATTTTTTTGTTACTTTTATATTAAAGTTGTGGATATGATAGTTGATATCGTTATGAAACAGTTACACGGTGAATTATTATATCAAAGTACATGGTAATATTTTATAATATACATTTATCATCGCTATACAGAAGTCAACGATCAATTTTCTACACATGAGAATAATCACGTTTACTGATATAACATTGAATCATTCATTTGTTTGTAGACAGTTTTTTTCACATTTAATATTTGGACTAGCCTTTGGTTTTCTGCTTGTTTTCTTCCTTGTTATAACTCAAGAAAATATTCTTATGTTTTTATACTAACTTGGTCCCCCTCTAGAATGAATCAAATTCAATTAGATCCCACTTCACGTCTATCCGTTATCTTTTTTCCTTTTAGACGAAGATTTTAATGTCATAAAACAAGACATGTACCACTTTTAAGTTAGAATGATCTTTTCGTATTTTTCCGTCGATAGTATATTAAGAAGTACAAGCATAGCCTCCTCCTTACATGGTTGTGATCACAAAATCAACTCCACACAAGAAGACTTTCGATTATTCTATTGTGCAATGTGGATCAAACAGGGCATCGAGTCGTCCGTAATCGATCTGAGCTATCGAAGTTGTGCCATCCATCGCAATGTAGCGAGGTATCATTTGGACGTCTATGAGCTATCCGAAAACATCATTAGCTGAAAAGAAAAATGCACTTTTCTCCTTTTGCCTCGTTTGCACACTCTCGAGAGGCCCCTCATCTCTCAGAACGAGGAGAAGGGCGTACGTGAATATTAAAGATATCGCATGTGAGGCCTGCGCTATTTATTATATGGGAGGGCATGTGGCTCGAGTAAAATGCTCTTGCTGACTGTGGTTGTCGAGGAATCTCGAAGTTTGAAAAAGAATGCACCATGTGATCAACTGTGTAGCCGCGATGGCGATGACGGACCCGGTTACGACAGTAACGTAAATCCTGCAACAAACCTGCATAACGTGAAACGCAGAAAAAAGTCTTCAAAGATTTGTTTTTTCCTTCCTGTCGAAGAGGGGGGCCAGGTGGACATTATAAGTAGATGCTGTGACATTATTTGAGAAGGCCTTTTTCATTTATTCCCAACAAGCCGGAGGTGGAAGCCCCCATCATTTGTAAACTTACCTGCGGTCATCTGGATTCTCTGTTGGAAGGGGTTAGAACAATCTGCGCTTTAAGTCTGTGCTGCAATTATTTCCAGTTTTCAAATAAATAACTGCTTTGAAATCAAAAGGGGCAAGCAGAGGCTATTAATTGTCACCGGAGATATATAAATATTGGTAAATGATGCTTATTTAATCTTCTGAAATTGTTGAAAATATCGAAACATTTTCAACACACAGAATTTAATGCTCTGGGCAACAATGAGGGCCGAGGTATGGTCCAGATGAGAAAGCGATTCAGTAACAATAAGAGAGGACGCTCACGTTACAAGAGCACCCACAAAGAGAAGAAGCCACACGCACTCCCCGCCACGAGGGGGTCCCACTCGGCCAAAATCCACATACAACTTATTGACAGTAGTACAGAACTATGAATAGAAAAAGAAGGGCAATTCTGGCCGATGTGGGGGCGAACTCGCTCGAGTGGAAAATATTCTCCAGAACCAGATATTATGAATCTGGGAGAAGATTCAATAATATCCAGCTGCACTCTATCCATGATTTTATATCATGGGGAAGTTCCAAAGTTGGATGAGCTTGGTGCTTGGCCATCTACTACTGTGTTAGGTGGCCATGCCTTCAGGAAGTTCTAAGTCTGCAATCTTTGAGTTCAGAGTCCACAGAGTAAACCTACACGCATGTAACCTGTAACCTTCCGCTGCATGTCATGGTCACTTTCAGTTCGGTGGATCCCTGTGTTGTGCATGAAAGGTAGGATGGCCTCTACCGAACCTGAAGCTCCCTGCTATGAGTACTTTTGATTGGGGTATATACTGTATTCTTGGCGTTTCCACGATGGAGCTTTTTGGTATTATTATTTTATATTGGGAAGGGCGTATAGAAATGAGAATCAGAATAGCAAGGACAGTACATCATCGACCCATCCGAGGTGGAGGTGGGAGTTTGTATGGATGGCTATGGAGCGACATTCAATCTCACCAGCGCAATCATTTGCGCCTGTTTCGTACTTTTGCACGATTGGCGGATCGACGAAACTTGCTGCTGCTTTCTAAATTTCGGCTGTAGTCAATGGTTTCTTTTCAACGACTGGAGCTACGCCTCCTCCTTATCCACCCCATCGTCTCAAAGTATCTCCAGCTGCAATCTGAAGATGTCGCGATGCACGTTGGGGAGTGTCCAGTTTTCTTTTCTCGACTCAGCAGTAGGATGCTCTCTATGCACAAAGCTCTTAGAAAGATCTCTTAAGTCAGAATTGGAACAACAGCAGAACTGCATGGGAGGCTTCACAGAAATCTATCTATGAGCGCCAGGTGAGTTTTCTGATAGATAGATTTCATTGAAAGAGTTAAGATTGCATGACTTTATCTCTATCGGTTAAGTGACGCGAAAGTATGCAGGATGTAAGTCGTTGTGTCACACTTCAAAGTGGAGGGCGATAAAGCTGTCTACAGGTAACAGTAGATAACACTGGGCATAGTGGTGGGACGTGTATTTCTCTGACATACTTGAAGGCTCCTTCACTACCGCCGAGCCCTTCTCCTTAAAATCTACACGGATTTAAGTCCTAGAACCCACCATGTTCCTTCAACACAGCCAGTATGGAAGATAATTGAACGGTACGGAGGCTATTCAATACCGAAGCGACACAATTTATGACGAAGAAACAGAGTAGAAGAGAAAAGCGGGCAGAAAAAGTCATAGACGACACACGTGTGTTCCGCGAGAGATACAAACTCTGTCCATCCGTTGACTACAATAGTGGGGCCACTTTTATACACTTGCAGAGCCTTTCCGAAGTTGTCTTTACAGGTTTCTGGGTCCTGTGGCTCTGTTGGTCTCTAAAAGTGTGTGCATTGGCCCTACAGGATAGTAACCTCATGGCCCCCAAGATTCAAAGTCTCTGAGACTTTTTTGCCAAAGGTGCAGACATGAAGAAAGCCGAGCACTCTTAACACTCACCTTTAGTTCTCCCTTTACTGAATCACAACTCATTCCGTGCAACATTGTGCCTCCTTCTCAAATGCTGACAAAAGGAAGCAACTCAAAGAGTGGCAGCCTGTCTCCGACTTTCTCAAACGCGTGATCCTTTGACACGATGACGTGACTAACGGGTTGCTGAATGAGATACAGATTAGATCGATGGTAAGCAGAACATACAGTCTACAAATTTAACCAAAACTTGAATGCAGAAGGTAATTGAGCTGAAATATTCTGGGTATACCATTGAAATCAAATAAACTGCTCAGATACGAAGAAAAATAATTCTTGATAATTCTCCACGGTCCATTACAAACAACGGAGCAAAGACATGCTGACGCAATCAATAATTGAGCAAGTTCTCGAGATAAGCTATATGACTACGTATCAAACTTTCGTGACCTAGACCCATCAGTATAAAACGATGGTGAAAGGTACAGTGGATGAGACTCATGTATATCACTGACGTTATATCATCGCACACTGTTCTGTAAAAGTAGCGGTAGGTAAACCCACCACATCAAGCCATCTGCCTCCGAGGAAAAAATGAGCGATTATATACAACCATATGCTCTTCCATCACTTGTAATTTCAACGGAAGTACTTAGAGAATCCCAGAAACATGTACAAACACAAGAAGGATTTAATCTAATGTCCATGAGCGGGAGTTTCTGGTTCTCCCTCCTCGATTTCCTGGTACTCATCAACTGTTATTCCCTCTCTTTTCGGATACAGGCAGTAATGTTGAATCACGAATAATACATCGAAAAAGATAGATTCCTGCACCCGACACGAACCACCACTTTCGTCAACGAAAAACAGAAGGAAGCATGTTCCGGAAATTGTTAAATGCTTTTCACTTGTTTGTTTGATTCCAGTTCACGACGTTTGCTGTAAACGGGTATAAGAACAAAGAAAAAGCCTGTGAAGAGTTAGCCTGGAAAAGGACTTACCAAAGACAAACCCAGCTTGCCCACATTTCCAGTGAAGTTCTCCGTTGAATCTGCAGAACGTCACAGCCGGAAGGTAAGTACATTTCTTCCTCTGACATGGCATAAACTAGTCTACCCATAATCTAAGGGGCTAACCGGGCAACGTAAGCTCCAGTGGGCACTCTGTGGCGGGGACGAGTATTTTTGCACTACACATAGTATCATGAAAACAAAAAATAGGGGTAAAGCAGATCATATAGAACTATTAACCTATTAAAAAGACCTACTTTGATCAATGGACTGAATCGCCATTTGGAAAATATTTGCCGTGCCGCCAGATAAATCCAGAATAATATTCCCAATACTCCAGCCAACGGTACTCTTTCTTTGATAGTTAAACCAAGCCTGTCCCATCACAAAAAGAAAGAAAGTAAAACTTGTGATTAATTCGCATAAGATTCTCTTTCACCTCCATCAATGGTATAATCGGGCAACAATTTCGTCCAGGATACATTAACATCGATGTTAACTGATAACAAAGCAAATATGTTGGTCTTCAATTAAAATCTTAACTTCACTCAGCGAGCAGTAAACTATCATGGGACAGCCGTCGTCTTCGAAAATCTAACGCTTGTCCATCATACTTCAAATAGCTAGCTATACACTCTATACAAGTTTTCGACATGAGGTTAAAGTAAGACGACACCGGCATGAACCGTGTCCAATCTGAGTCAATATCCTAATTACCTGGGGGATGTACTTGATTGCGGTCATAACTAGCTGTATGATACTGCACAGAAATAAAAAGACGACGCACACGTGACGATGTCATACTTCCATGTACTAGACTGTAGTGAGTATTATGATCTCTAGCACAAAGCTTAATGAAGAAGCAGGATTTAAATATGTGGTTCAAATTATGTCATACAAACTTGTAGCGAATTGAACTGATAAACAGGACTTTCGAATTCGAATCTAGCTTTGTATCCGACAATATTATTGTAAAAGCTACGTCTTGTAATGATCAAGGCCGAGGCTATTCGATCATGGAACATATCGAAAGACTCACTTGAAACCTGACACAAGCCATAACCAGTCACCCTTTGGCCAAGCCATAAATAGAAGAACCACAGCGGATCCCCATGCCACAGTAGTGATACCTATGGCTGGTTTTGAAACTTTTTGCTGACCCCTCTGCAACATCACAACACACTTATGAATCAGGACATCCATAGATCTTGCCCTTAATACTAGAACAGAAGACGGCACAAGTAATGTGAAGTTGAGGTTGTAGGTTTCAAAATAGGCGACTTCAAACAAGTGGATACGATAGTTCTATTATAAAATTGGCTGTAGCACAAATAGAATTTTACTTGGACAATGCATCTTTCTGTACTATTGAGAAGAAGGTAGAAACTAGCAATACGTGACAGGTTCAAACTTGGACAATACGTCCAGTATTGCCAGTACGTCCAGGTTCAAACTTGTCCAGACACTCAACCACATGACATGCTCACACAGTGAAATGTTTGAGCATGTCAAATATGTATATGTGTTTGTCCAGGAGCGTCTCTCAATTCATACGCAATTGCCCGAATACTTCGGGCAATTACGCGCAAAGAAAGCACATCATAACTCTAGTCAATCTAGGGTATACATACAAGAAGCTGACTAATAAAACTGATACAGGGGCCAGGCTTGAAAAAATACTTCGTAGATGCAGACTTGAAACAAGGTGATCGCAGTGAGCAGCACTGCATGTATGGAAAATGCTACATCACTTGGCGCAACTGGAATCAGCTGTTGACAAAAGGAACAAAGTCAGTTGCAATCAAAACGCTCCACATGAATGAACTTCCGAGGTGTTGCACTTGAAAGTAAAACATGGCTCCATATTGAACTGCAGCAAGGGCATCAACCTACTAACTCAGTTGATCTGGAGACGATGGTCGGTAGGCATTTTCACATTGGTGCAAATTAGTGTTTCTCCTCATTTTCCAAAGCAGTAACTCTGTATGGTGCATCTAGATGTAAACATTCACGACAAAAGTAGAAGTCGGCTATGGGAAGCTTTCTTCGCAAAATTGCGTAGAGACAACGCAGAAACACGTACTGGGACTAGGAGTGCTACAAATACTACCGATAGTCCAGTTAAACAGCCCTGATAAAGAGTCTAATTCTTCGAAACACACAGAGCAGATGCCATGATAAAAGTTCCGTCAGTATACTTGCTAACCATAAGGACACAAAGATACGGCTCAAACATTGACCCATTACATTGACCCAAGAAGTAAGTGGTGCAGGAGGATGATATAAGGTCTGGTTAGACAATGTGCACTTAACAGCAGCAACAAACTTCTAAAAGGTTTACTGAACTTAAAGGCGATATGAATACAAGGTCTTTACCATAAAAGAAGAGACAATACTTTTACAGACGACACAGGTTAAAACTCTTTCGACGTCTTGATCATCGTTGCACCTCATGAATACATGGCAGGCAATTGACGCCAAGATAAATGTAAGTTTGTTTCCCATTAACTTTTAGAAGCTGAAGACTTGTTAAATTTACAGGAGTTGGAAGTGGCAAGTACAGGTAAACGAGAAAAATTGAGCCTGAGAGACTTATGTAAAACAGATGCAATCTACAGGGCAGACAGCACAAAAGACACATTTGCACTGAAGACTGATATGCATCCCTCCTCTCGTAAATTCCTGCACAACTAATTTTCTCTCTTGAAAGAGATCAACAATTTGTTCTTTAAAGACATCCTCTTTTACAATATCATCAACATGTTCTATGAGAGAATTTTCATAACCTCTGATTTTCCATACTTGTCGCGATACTGCTGTTGTACGACCGGGCTGAAGTATAGGGATGCATTGTAGATCAAATAGCTACTATGCTTCGTGAAATTGAAAACCAGGAAGTCGAACGTGAGCCCTGTAACACTGACATGGCCAAAAAGGGCAGAGAATCAGCATCGCTGCCCATTTGCAATATTTTTCAAATATTGCAAATGGGCAATATATTTCCGGACAGTTCACGCGTCATATCACTGACGAGGTAACGCCGCCCAAGCAACATAAACGGGCTCAAAGGGCTAAATTACAGCAGGAATAAGCAAACCCAGTATCACAATAAGGGCAATTGCATACAACAGACGTTGCTGAACACGCGGAAACGGATGGCCAACCGATCGCGGTCCGTGAAAACAGAAGTCTCCATCTAAAGGACTTTCCTACCAGGTACGCAACTGCAATTCGATTCGATTCTCGAAGCCTGATAGTCTCATCTAGGTCAATTCGAAACGCAAACATCCACGAAGCAAAACAATAGGAACAAAACCCCAGCCAGAGGCCCCAGAAGCAAGTGCAAATCATGGAGCGAACCTTTTTCGTCGATAATTGAGAAGAACTTGAGGGTAGAAACTAACGGACCACACGGCGAAAGCAAACCAGCCCAGCGTCAAATAAAAAACGTAAAGGGAAGAGGAATGCCATTCTGCATCCCCTTCGGCCATCTCTGCTAGAGCTAGAGCTCGAGGTCGTTCCCAACTCTCAATCTGCTCGCCTCTGCGTCGTGAGCTTCGCACGCTCCGGCTTCTTCAAACCTCATGTCCCATTCCCGCAAGCTGTGACATCGAATCAATTCCGGTCGGTATCGAAAATCTCGTACTGCCACTGCGCTTCATTCCCCTACGGGGCTGGCCAGAGCTGCGCGGAAACCAACCACGTTGACCAGCTCTGTCTCATTTTTGGCCTGTATCTAGTCTCCATTCGGGCAAGATCTGGATTTGCTAACTGGTGAGCATTTAAATATTCCTGAACCTCGGGGCAGGGTCCAAGAAGCTGATTCTGAAATTGGAGATTTCATTATAAAATACTCCGCGGAGTTTGGGTCCAATACCAGACCGAGCTTCGGGTTTCTCACAGCTTTTCCAAGAGTAGAGAGAAATTAGAGAAAATTTGGTTATTCATATCCTATCAATCACTCCGTGGATGGAACAAACCGAGCATGGGACCAGGTATCCATCTTGAATTTCTTACATTCATTTAATTTGAACCATCGATTGCTCTCCATATTGCATTGGATGTATGTAAAATAAAAAGTACTTGACAAATAACTGTAGACAACGATATCCATGTGGTTTGGTTTGGTAACTCATGACACCGGAAAATAATGCTAATCCTTTCATTTAATTCCAAACGTAGAGAAACGAAGTTGATATTTTTATACATTAAATCTTTTGTATAGCTGGTTAATTTTTCTCCAAGTCTGATCCAATTGATAAAAAATCATTATTTTTATACTTCTCCTATCTCATGAACTCTTGACATAAAGTTTGGTGATGATAAATTGGTTATCTCAAACCAAATGTAGGGTTATCTTAACTCAAATACATTAGAAAACAATCTGTTGGGACATATCCAATGGGTCAAACTACAACAAACATTACATAATTCAAATAATAATTTACTACATTCTCCAAATGATCATTTATTTGAATCCTGGTTATAGCATAACTTAGCATTGCAGATGTAGGTGAATATTAAATATGTGTATGGTTAAATAAAAAATTTATATATTCAATAGAATATATCCAAAATTTCGAGCAGTTTTTTCGAAATAAAATTTTAAATAAATAAATATATGATATTTTCTGCAAAATATACCAGTATTTTAGTATTTTATCTAAGCTATCAAGAATATGATTGATAAGATTTAGCTTTTTATAATTTCAATATACTATTCGGTATGTTTATTCAAATTTAAGTTTTTAAAATCTAACACCAAACTTATTATAGACAAAACTTAAAAGTGAAATTTGAAGTTACCATAAGTGAATTGGATATAACTAATGTGATCCAAAAATTAATTATCTGAAAATATATTTTGATAATTTTTGATAACATAAATATTATGTAATTAATTTTTCAAGAATTTCTTTATTTTTATTTCTAAATTTAAATGAATTCTTCTTATTTCAGATAGAAATTTATTTAAATTCTTCGCGTAAATAATTAAATATTTTAGTAAATAAATTTTCATAAATTTTTATCAACATAATATTAGAAATTTGAATGAAATAGTATCTTCATTATTTTCTGCATATAATTATGTCAGATTTTCTTTCAGTATAATGCACATCATCAAATACATAACGTGACAATCTGTTTTGTTACAAGAAAAAGACGAGATCAATTTCTCTCTATATCATTTATTCAATACTAAGTTGAAAATTACTAAAAAATTGTTGCCGTATCAAACTTTTTAAGCACATGTTAAAAATTTTGCCCTGATTAAACCATAACTTTCTCTCTTTCAAATTTTCATTATACACCATATTACCATATTAAACCAAATTACTCTCTTTAATTTACTTCAATAGTTGATTTTTGCATCTGTTGTCATATCATCCAGATATAAAGCTTAAATAATGAGATTAAAGCTATAATGTTGCAATTTTTTCATATACATACATGAATTAAACACATATGGTGTAATCTTATTTATTTTTTTAATAAAAAATTCAAATATTACGTTCCACGTCATTTATAGCAGATTTTTCTACAAGTAAAATGACTTTATTGTTTTTCATATTTTTTTGTTGTGTAAGATAGTTATCCAAGAACCTACCAATAGGTAGTTATAAGATCTGTATCAGATTTTTTTTTGTTATTACTTGATCATTAACTAATACGTTTATTTGTTTTCAAACCAAGGTTCATTTTTTGAAAGTTCCACTAGCTTTTACATTTTTTTATCAATCAAAGATTTCATAAAATTTCATAACAAAACTTTATGCAAGTTTATGCACAGATGTTTAGAATTTCATACAAAAGAATATATTTTTTAACACTATCAACTTCAATATCATGATCTTTATTGAAATTTAATATTTTCTTAAATTTTTGTAAAGAAAATTAAAATTAAGATATAAACTATGACAAGATGACACTTGACCTTAATTTTTTTGGTTCTAGCTTCTAAACTTCTTACAAATATACTGCACTGTTGTTTTTGTGTGGACTTTTCATCTTGTAATTATCTTAATTTTAACTTGTACCGTTTAACCTTAGAAAGTTGTAGAGATTTCATAGACATGTTAATAAAATAAAATCACACAGATGCAAAATTCTTCATTAATATATGATCATAGCATAATTTTTCAAAGAGTGGAACTTTTAAAAATGTTCTTAAAAGTCAATATGTACATATTCAAATAACTTCTTCAAACTATGAGTTTCAACACCAAAAAATTTCCAATGATGTTTGAACATAACATAAATCTCACGTTATCTAAAATCAAGTATTACTATGCTAGATAAAATCCTTATATTGTTTAAAAAAACCTTTAATAACTATTACTTATATATCATACATCAGTAATCTCAACTCAATGTCTTGTAAAATTGACTTTATCACAGCTAGTGTTGCCATTTAACATGTTTGAATTATTTTATATTGTATCATTCACCTTTCATTTATCACCTAGTATGAACTGAATTTTTTTAATTTAAACTTCTATTCAAGTATTTTATAATCTAATATTCAAAAAAGTTTTAATTTTTTTCCATATCAGGTATAAATCACACAGATTAAAAAAAAATCACTTTAGGTTTGTATTTATCAGATTAATTTTATTGATTTTATATGATAAAATTTGTAAATTTTTTATTTTTTTCACTGGGCAATTTAATTTCAATTTTAGCTTCATATTGCAATACATTTTTAAAATATTCTTATTTTTTGCATATATAATCACTATAAATGTAGGAATTTTTAAATTTATTTTTGAATTTGAATTTGTATTGAGAATTGAATCAGGAAGATTGAAAAAGATGATATCAAATGAAATCTTTTGATAACTTGAAGACTTTTATAGCAATCTCTTGACACATAGAACATAAAACAAGAGTACTTTCAATGGCAATCACATTTCATATGATAAGTAATGAAATTATGATCATGAATGAAGCTTAATCTGCACAAGAGACTGAAAAAAAATTCTAGATTTTGACATCTTTCTATGTATTCAATGATATAACATACTTCAAAAGATTGTTACATTGTTTCTCATATCCATTGGTTTCATTGCTTCTTTCATCGTTGGAAGAAGATGTGCAAGTGGATTACAAAACCACACTTCTTACAAAAGTTAATACTTAAGTAATAACTTTTGTTGATCTTTTGACTAGCCTATGAGTGAAATGCTTTATATTTTCATTATCTATTGTGTCTATACTTTCATCACCCCATCTAGGATGAGATATTGAGATCACATGTAGTACTAGGGGCATATCGATACTTGTGCCAAAAGTTATATATCGTTGAGATCTTGTTACTCAACAGGAATAAATTGGAAAGTTTCAACTCCTTTCATCACTAGATAACAATCATTTCAGTTCTTTTACGGTTTACATTTCTTGGAATGGATTGACGTGCTTTGGCCAATTCATGCTGTGCATAAAGAGTTGAAAATGAACATGAGATTCTTAAAAAATTTATTCCTGACAGTATTATCACATTTCCTATAGAATGCTCTTGACGTCAAATTGCAATTTTTTAGCCTCTAAATAGAGAGCTCCATAGCTTTGGAAGAGTTGAGATTTAAAACGCTTCACACGCTAAGAAAGTTGTTCCACATTAATACAGTATTCTCTTCATCATGCACAAAGAAACAACAATATTGATAAAAAAAAGAGTCTAGACTAATGAGACTTCACGTGGATATAGGCTACAAGCTGAATGGTAGTTAGCTTGCACAGAGCAACATCTACAATCCATGGGTTGACTTTATTGCTTCTGCCATGAAGCATTGATTTTTTTATGTGTATTTTTAGTATATTTTGGTGGGTAAACTTTCGGAAAATATAGGCCTAGATCTGAAACTGAAATGATGGGACAACATTTCAGACATATATATTTTCTTCCAACTCAGAATCATGATATCTAGAGCTATGAGCTCCGATGTTGTGGTCATATACAATATCTCAACAATTAATTACCACTTATATAAATGACGTGATTATCTAGTAGCACTTTACGGATCCTCACGGTTACTATCTGAAAGGCATACAGTCAGTCACCTAGTCAAGACATAGATTAATAAACATTATATCTCGCCATTTTTATTTGTTTGAAAAGAACTCATTTTGATCTCCTTTCATGTGCATATACTTTGTCTGGTTTTCAGTTTGCATAATTTTTGTAAAGAAATTATAACCTGCAGTTGTGACATCAGATTTGTTTGGTGATATTTTTAGTTTTCACATGCTTTCTTCAAATAAAGCTGGATAGCTTGTGATACTCTATGGCATATCTTTCTTTCTTACACAGGTTGTTGTTTACTTAGCAAAGGCAGCGAATGAACAAGTGAATTTCTACAATCTCGACTACGAAAGTCATGTTAGGAAAAGAGGTTTGGTCCCGTAATTCAGAAAAGAAAGGTGGGAGATAGTCTACCACTAGACCTCATAAAGAAGTAGCACGTGGCAAGCTCTGACAGGCACAAGAAGATAAGGACAGAAGTGAAGGATATTTGAAGCTAACGATGCATGGACGGGGAAAATCAAGCAACCAGCCTACTATAGACGAGCAAGACATATCAGGCGTGCGTGTAGAAATTAGTGATGGACTGAAGTTAGGCTGGAAGGAGGAAGGAAAGAGATAAAGCCAGGTCTTAATAAGGAAGGGGGAAAAGGCACACCAAACCAAACCCCAGCCCAGCCATAGTAGATTAGACCAACCCAACCGAGAA